TACAATATGTTCCTAGACTCAATAAAATAAAAAGTCTTCTGAAATTTTCTATTCCTCTTGAGTCATCCATTAGATGCTCCAAACGCGTCTCGGACTCCAATAAAATCTTGTGCACCTTCTTGAATATTTTAAGAAATTTGCATTTCAAGACTTCGTGTTTGTCGATGTATCAAAACCTGTGAGTCAACACTTAATATTAGGAAGTATAATTAAATTAGGATACTACTTTCCTTTCCTATTAGGATTATTCTTTCCTTTCCTACTTGTAGTTTAATTACTCTTGTATTCCCTATATATAGGGTCATATCTCTCAATATTCAATAAGACAAATTATTATCAAATTGTATCATGGTATCAGAGCCACCGCTCTTGGTGACCTAAAAGAATTCTTTGCTCCCACCGTAGCCAGTAATTCCGGCGACGGCGACTCCATCCTATTCACCTCTATTTTCTTTTCCTTCTTTATCCTCAAATCAACTTTTCCATTCAAATGAAAAAAAAAAGAAAAAAACCCTGTTGAAATCACACAAAAAAAACTATCAAAGGAGGAACTTCTCTCTTGTATCTCCATGGTTCTTCAAAAAAAACCCAACTCCTCACAAACTTTCTCAACTCATCATATCTTCTCAAAAAAAAATGAAAAAAAATGATTGTTGTTTCTCTCCAACTCACCATATCAAAATCTCATACCCAAATTTTTTTTCTCCATCACCAATTCTTAACCTCCCTTCTCTTTTCTTTTATTGAACCATTAAAAATCCAAAGTAAATCAGCACAAAAGCAAAGCCAATTAGGGAAGTAGTGAAAGAGGAAAACAAATACCTCTACAACTCACTCATTCAAGAAGGAAATAAGGCCTCTCCTCTTTTTTGCAGGGCCTTGGATTCAAGTGCTGCATTCATGATACCAGCTTGTTCACCAGACATTGCTCTCGTGGGACTATTATTGTCCTTGTCTATGTTGATGATATTGTTCTTACTGGCAGCTCTTCTACTCTCATCTCAGAAGTTACTCAGGCCATGCACCGTGACTTCAAGCTCAAAGAACTTGGACCTCTTCATTACTTCCTTGGCATTGAGGTTCAGCACACGCAAGATTCTATGCTTCTCCATCAATCCAAATATGCCCGTGATCTTCTACGCCGAGCTGGGATGTCCGACTGTCATCCGGCTATTACTCCTATGGCTACGAGACCTATCACTAAGCCTTCGTTGCCTTTCAAGGATATCTCTCATTTTCGGAGCATTGTTGGAGGTTTACATTACTTGGCTGTCACTCGTCCAGACATTCAGTATGCTGTTAATCGAGTGTCTCAGACTATGCACAACCCCACTGAGCAGGACTATCATGCCTTACAACGCGTTCTGCGCTATCTCAAAGGCACTTTGAATCGTGGTCTTCTTTTTCGCAAGGGGGCATTCGACCTATCTGTCTACTCTGACTTTGACTGGGCAAATGATAAAGATGATCGTAAGTCTACCACGGGCTACATACTCCTACTCGGTCCTAATATCATCTCTTGGTGCACGAAAAAGCAGACTCGTGTTTCTAGATCATCTACTGAAGCTGAATATCGAGCTATGGCTGCAGGGGTTGCAGAAGCTATGTGGCTTCGATATATCACTGATGCGCTGGGTATTCCTCCATCCAAACCGAAGTTATACTGTGACAATGAGTCGACTATCTGTGTCACCAAAAATCCGGTTCTTCATGATCGCATGAAACATGTGGGCACAGACTGTCACTTTGTACGCGATGAGGTTATGGCAGGCACTATGACTCCACATCATGTTTCCTCCTCAGAGCAGCTAGCAGATATTCTTACCAAACCGCTTCCGCCAGTTCCTTTTGAGTACTTATGTTCCAAGCTGCCCCTCGTCTCCGTTAATCATCTTGCGGGGGGATATTAGGAAGTATAATTAAATTAGGATACTACTGTCCTTTCCTATTAGGATTATTCTTTCCTTTCCTACTTGTACTTTGATTACTCTTGTATTCCCTATATATAGGGTCATATCTCTCAATATTCAATAAGACAAGTTATTATCAAATTGTATCACTTAACAACACAAAAATGGTTGAACTCATGCATTCCAACAATTGCCACATGTCATTCTCTAATTATTAGAACTTGTCACTCTCTCAAGTTTGACACATGACATTCTCTTAGAGACCAAACTCTCAAATTTATATACTCCCTCCGTCCATAAAAGAACTTCCCGGTTTGATCGGGCACGCATATTAAGAAAAGTGAAAATTTTCTTTGACTTTCCAAGAATACCCTCCCCTATTTCTCTCGTGCATCATTCCAAATTGAAAAGTTGAACCTCCGGCAAAGAGGGAGTCGAGCCACCTGAACTGCACCAGTGGAAGGTTGTCGCCGTCTAATTCGACGCCATCTGAACTTCCGGCAAAAGGAAGTCGAGCCACCAGAGGAGTGACGCCGTCGAACCGCCAGAGGAGTGACGCCGTCTGAACCACCAGAGCGGCACCTTTCGGAATCGCCTTACCATTGTCTCAAGTTGCCGCCACCGTCACTGCCAGAGGAGCGACGCCTCTGACCCGGCATCTTTGCCACTATTCTCTCCCTAATTTCCGATCCAATTAACAAGCAACACTAATGTTTGGATTGGGGAGGATGAAATTAATAAAACAAAAGGAAGATCAAGAGAAAGGAGAGAAGACTGAAAGGATAGAAAGAGAGATCTGAAGGTGAGGAGACAAACTTGAATCTAAAATGGAGAGAACCGTAGAGAATGGAGAGAGAGAGAGAGGTGGGTAGAGGGGGTTAATAAGTTAGGTTGGTAAGGGTATTTGTGTCTTTTTAAGATAAAGTTTTTGCCAAATAAGAAAATGGGAAGTTTTTTTGTGGACAACCAAATAAGAAAAGTAGGAAGTTTTTTTATGGACGGAGGGAGTATAAAGGATTTTCGCAACTTGATAACTTCAAAGTAAATGTTTTCCCAAAATGAAGTCCATAAGCCAACTCGGGGTGGGCTCATTCCTCTAGGAGCCACTCACTTGAAAAAATTATTTTGAGGACTTATTCAAAGTTTTGATGATGGAAAATACCAAAATACCCTCTATTTAATTGTCATTTAATATGTATTTTTTTTACAAAGGGCTATTTAGGGAATTCATGGTCTTAATTCCCTAAATATTCCTCTAATAAGGTCCCTTTCTAATAAAGTATTTTCCAAATTAGTACTCAATAAGCAATCATTACCAACGTCTTCCTTTATATAATTGAGAAGTAGTCCTCTATAAAAAAATGCCTATTAATTGACAGTTAAATATAATGGAGGGTATTTTTGTATTTTCCATCATCTAAACTATGAATAAACTTTGAAAATTGGTCCTCTCAAATTAAGTGGGTGGCTGCTAGAGAAACGAACTCACCTCCAATAGGCTTATGGACTCCATTTCAGAAAAACATTACTTAGAAATTATCAGTTTTAAAGAATACTTAATTTTAAAGGAGCATTTCGAGAACATACTTTAAGTCTAGATGATAGAAAATACCAAAATACCTTCTATTTGACTGATATTTAATAGATATTTTCGGCAATATGCCATTTATAATAAATCTAAATTATAAAGGATCACACATGTAATTATTGCGTATTGAAGACTAATTTGAAAAAATATCTTATTAGAAATGATTATTTTGGAAATTCACTCAAAATTAAACTACAAATATATGCTTTCTAAATCACTTCATTCTCCAGTGTTTCCGCATTTTCGGAACAAGCTTGGAGTTTCTCAAGGCACCCAAATCTTGCGGGGTGTATTGATAATAGATAAAACTCCAATCCCTTCATCCTGTGAATGTCTTTCTATTTGACTTTTTTAGCTTTATAAACTTTGATATTGATATGTGAAAAAATTACAATAATTTGTTACTTCCTCCATCCCAAAACATTTATAACATTTGTTTTTTCAGCAGTCGCGAGAACTTTTGTTTATTTCTACGTTTTCATTGGTTATTTGATAAAATAAAATATTCTTGACACCTCTTATTTCGAAGAACTTTTCATGTAGTTTTTTGATATGTAAATTTTATTTTTAATTTTTATGCCAATATGTAAATAAAATGAATTGAAAAATTTTAATATTTTACTTCGAAAATACAAGTGTAGCAAATATTTAGGAACAGAGGAAGTATGATATAAAAGTCTTGATTTAATTTTATATTAGGACTGGCCAGTGGCCTGGCCTTATTCTCCGAACCAATCATCCTTTAAGAGAAATTATGTGCAGTGGTGCCGGGAGTAATGCCCTCATTTTCAAATTTCAATGTGTCAAACCCACCAAAATAGCTAACAAATCGCAATTTTTTGTCCTTTTATTTTTATGGAAAAGCATGAAACACCCCCTAATTAAAATACATGGAAACAAGGAGGTTGGTGATTAATTTCGTAGAAATTGTCAAACCCACCAAAAAAACCCCAAAAATGTGAAATAGTCTTCCCGTCCCACAAAACACTACCCATTTTGCATAGTATTTGGTCAAACAGTTACACACTTTGACTATAAATTGTAAAAAAAAGTATATTGAATTATAAGATAAATTCAATATACGATCTAGTTTTGATGTATCAATTTTTTATAACATTTTTTTATTTAGATTATATTTAATTTATGTTCGAAGCGTGTAATTGTTTGTCCAAAAATACATCAAAATGGATAATATTTCGTGGGACGGAGGGATTATATAAAATATAAATAGAGAAAAGGGATTCCCAAAATCTTGCAAGCTAGCCAAGCCCTCCCTCCATACATACAGAATGATGGCCTCAACCAAATATCCCTCTCCTTCCCAAATTGTGGAGTCCAAAGACACACAAGAAGTGATAGTAGTGATCGTACCATTTCTTGCACAAGGCCACATTAATCTTCTTGCCCACATGTCCCGCCTCGTTGCCTCCTACGACTTGCCCGTTTATTTTCTCGGTTTGAGCATCGACATCGTCACAGCCAAACAACGTATTCAAGGTTGGAACCCGACCGACTACCCGACCCTTCGGTTCCACGAGTTCCCCCCGCCCCCGTCTTACCAATCCATCACCAACCCCACCCGTGAATTCGGGTCGTACGCGAACTTGTTAGCTGACACGATGACAGCGGCCGTGGATTTACGCGGCCCCATCAGAGAGCTCCTGTGGGAGCTCTCAGGCAAATGCCGAAGGCTCGTGGTGGTTGGCGACGCCCTGATGGCCACGGCAATACAGGACGTCGCTTCCATACCGAACGCTGAGGCTTACAACTTCTATGTCGGGTCGGCCTTCCACGATGCCTCGCTCGTCTGGGAAGTCTCCCGTAGAGTGCTGCACATCCCGCCTTTCCTCTGGAAGCTCATCGGGAAGCTTGTTCTCCCTCCCGGGGCAGTGATCCCGGACGGTCTTCCGACCCCACAAAGCTGCTTCCCGGAAAATTTCTTGAAGTTCATCGTCGACCAACGAGCCAACCACAAGTTCTTCAAGGGTCATCTATTCGACGCTTGTAGGGCCATAGAAGGCCCATACCTCGACCTCCTCCGGAGGTGCTACAGGCTACTTAGAAGAGGAAACGTGTGGGGGATCGGTCCTTTCAACCCGGTCGTCACCCAATCAATAACAAGCAATAGTAATTCCACAGACCGTCACAGCAGCCTTGGGTGGCTGGACATGCAGCCACCCAAGTCTGTTATTTTCGTCTCCTTCGGGACTCTGACCGTTCTGTCCGACAACCAGCTCTACGAGCTAGCAGAGGGGTTGGAACAGAGCGGGAAGAGGTTCATCTGGGCGGTGAAAGACATGCTGAAAGGAGGGAAAGGACGGATCGGGCTGCCCGAAGGATACGAGGAGAGAGTCAAAGGGAGAGGGCTCATTCTCCGGGACTGGGTCCCGCAGCTCGAGATCCTAGACCATGGGTCGACGGGCGGGTTCTTGACGCACTGCGGGTGGAACTCGTGCATGGAGAGCATATGCAGGGGAGTGCCAATGGCGACGTGGCCAATCCAGTACGACCAGGCCAGGAACGCCGTCCTGATGACGGAGGTGCTAAAGATCGGGATCGCCGTGAAAGATTGGGAACGGAGGGAGGAAGTGATAACTGCGGCGGCGATTGGAGCCGCCGTCCGGAGATTGATAGGGTCGGCGGAAGGAGAGGAGTTGAGAGTAAAGGCGAGAGAGATGGGGAGAGCCGTGAAGCAGTCCGTGATGGAGGGGGGCGTTTCTCGCGTGGAGATGGACAGTTTTATTGCTCATATTACCAGAAAATGTTGAGAGGGAATTGAAGGAGAGGTGCGTTGAAATAAATACCTCTAGTTTTCTTTTTTCTTCTAAAGTGCACTTCTCTTCATTGTAATTGATTTAAAATATCTTTATTCTAAGTGATTAGTGAATAATTGTTGATAAAAGTTTCCAAGAATAATATCGTTTGCAGTGTTTTGCATCTTTTCACTAAACAAACTTTAAGAGTATTTTAAAGGCGATTGTTATTCAATAAGTCAACAATTTTAATACTCCTTAATTTTAGAATGTCTTCTATAAGAAAAGTGCTTACTAGAATAAGAATTAAAAAAACAGAAGGAACTAAAATAAGATTTTAATATTTTTATCTGCAAAATAGGATTTATAATTCCAATATAGAGTGCTACATTGTCACAAGACAATAGTCCTATTTTGGTGATAAAATATATCACTCATATATATTTTGGCAATAAATCTATGTTTTACTTTTATCTTGGTGATTTCTTAAGGTCTATTTGGAAATAGCGTTAGCAATTAGCGTTAGAGTTTTGAAAAGGCTATCAACGGACAGCTTTTAGCGTTAGCGTTTTCAAAATAATCTGTACCGTTTTAAGAAGAATTTACTTAAATAACACTAAAAAATAATGATTTTTCCTAAATAGTATCACATATGTTTTTCTTCCCAACGTAGCACTTTTAGTCATTATGCAATAGTCATTATTCAAATAAATATTCGTCATCACTGGACATTATGAACATTGTTAAGTGCTATTAAGGGAATAAAAAATTTAAATGCTATTTAGGAAAATGACTTAAGTTTTAGTGCTATTTAGTGCAAATATTTCTAAAATTTTATTCAAAGCGGTAACGCTAATCTCTAACGCTATTCCCAAACAAGCCCTTAGTCATGCTTTCAATTAATGTTGCCATTTTGAATATTGTTTAATGATAGAACTTAACATTGAAAACAGAAACTATCAAGCCCCCAAAGGATTAATATCATGTCGTTTGGGGCGTAGAATGAAAACGACGTCGTTTTAATCATTTAAACATTAATTTACTTCTGCTCAAATCGGCAAACCGTCATTTGTCTTCTACTCGCATTCGCAACTTTATATTCAACTAATCCAACTCGCCAACCCTGGCTCATCGCAGCCTTGCTTCTGCCAATGTCCGACCACTAATTGGGACATGTAAAAATTTTGACCTGGTACTTGATAGAAGTTAGAGCCACATGGCTTAGGCGGACCCATAGCTAGGGCTCCCACATGAGGCCACGTACCCAAGGAGAATCCATCTGAGCAGAACAGTCGTCAGTTAAATTTTTATTGAATTTTTCTTGGCAACCCTGCCATATGTGCACACTCCCTTTCTTCTCCGGGAACGGATCTTTTATCTCCAACAGGTCGAAGTCCCATTTGCAGAACGTTGCCGCAAATTCTGAATTCAGGTTCTTGTACACGCTTTTGTCCTTAGCTTGTAGAGCATTGTCAAACCATATACATACTCCCTTTCAGTAGTGTTTATCTGATTTAATTGTACTTAATAAGTCAAACCAAACAAACATATTGGGAAAAAGACTAAAGTAGAAGTAAAAAATTAAAAATATACAAAATAGCACTTCCGTGTTTTTATTCTCAAAATAAGAGTTAAAATACTTTTACATTACCAAACATGGTCATGTACATTACCAAATGGTATACTAATGCGCACATGTACAGTGCTACATTACAACCACATTACAACAATGCGAGTTCTAATTTCAAAAATAAAAACATATTTAGACAAAAATAGATATTATGACATTGATAATTAGTGTGAAAAGAACGGCAGTGTAATCTATTACTCCTTTTACTCTATGAAAAGGTTCGATATTTGCTTGTCCCAAGAACGTTCCACACTATTAATAAAATAAAACTTTTTATTTATCTATATCATTTTCGTTAAATGATACAGAGTAGTGAGAGTACAGAGTAGTAGTTAAGTGGAAATAGTTCAAGCCAAAAGAACAATAGTAAACATAAAAATAACAATTTAATGACCAAGCTGCTTTTGAATCGGTTGTACAACCGATGCAAAAACGTACAAATGCGCGATTTAAAAGGCTTTTTTAGTAGTGTGCTAGTGAAGATTAACGCTATGTTTGGTTCAAGATATTTGGAAGGAAAAGAAAAAATGGTTTTCTTTCATTTTCCTCACCAAAATGGAAAGAATTTGGTCTTTCTTCCACTTACTATATTTTGTCTTCTCATTTTTTTTCCTTCTACTTTTCCTTTCTTTTCCCCTATGACCAAACAAAAAAAACTATTTTTCACTTCACTTTCTTTTCTTTTCCCTTCAAAATTTCTTGAACCAAACTTAGTATAAAGCAATATAGTAGTAGAAAAAGAGAAGTAAAATTTGCACTGAATAGGACTAAAACATAAGTCATTTCCCAATGTAGGACTTGAACTTTTTTATTCACCAAATAGGACTTAATAATGACTAGTGAGAAGAATAATGTCCAAGTGATGCGTGTCATTTAGTTGAATAATGACTAATTGATAATGACCAATGATCCTATATTGGGAAATAAAAGCATATAGTCCTATATTGAGAATGTCATTATGTTTTAGTCCTATTTAGGTAAGCTATCCAAAAGGGAAATGTTACCGCAGTTGGGGAGTGATGGCCATTCAGAGCATCCCAAATAAGCTCGCGATCATGTTCGCTATAATTACCATCATTTCTGGACGGGTTTCGGGCGGCCAACCAACGCTCGAACCAGGGAGTGTATTTCCCAATCTAGGGCATTACCCGGTACACATTTCTTCTTTCATCATTCTTGGTGAGAATGTCCGGGATAGACGTCCACGGGTAGTTCACCGGTGGAACCACCATCGCCACCCCCAACAGCCTCTCTGGTATCCGTTTCAGGCACCCCCACGTTGGGTATGACCCCATCGGGTTATACTTTGGTCCGATCCCAATCCGATCGGCTAGTTCCTCAATGTCTGATGATTCACTTCTCTACGTCTGTTTATCGTTCAGGTCGCTCTCTCCGTACCCAGCTATGTCGAACAGAACCATATACACTCCCATCACCTCCATCAAATCCTGCTTCGAAAAGAGCTAGTAAAAGAAAGAGTAAATTCCTCTCTTATAAGATTTTTTTATTTAGTTCTTTATTATCAAATATTATCCATTTGGTCATTCTTTTATAGGTACCTTTTCACAAATAGTCCCTTTTTTGACACTCTGTTATGTTGGTGTTAACTTGGTATATAGCCCATCTTACCAGCAATAGAATATGTCACTGGACATAAAGTTATTATAAAATTACACTTTTAGCCATCAAACTAACATCAACATAATAGAAGATAAAAAAACTATTTGTGAAAATACTCATAAAAAAAAGGATCACGGAGGTAATATTTGATAATAGAAGACTAAATAGGATAAACTCTCTCTTATAAAGGACTAATTATGGAATCTACTCCATAAAAATACTCGAATCAAATATTACTTCCTCCGTTCCTTAAAGCTGTTCTCATTTTGACTTTTAGAGAATTTAATAGAAAAATATTTTTGTGTTGACTTTCCGAAAATACCCCTAATGTGATGGGTAAAGTAAGAAGTGATAAATAGATTATTAGCAAAAAGGTAGGGTAAGAGTGATGGGGTAAAAATGATTTTTAATAGAAAGAAGAAGGACTTTGTAGGTCTCAAAAATAAACAGAGAAGGACTTTAAGGAAAAGAGGAAGTATACTTTTTAGGATTCTTATTCAAAGAAATAAATAAATAAATCAATACTAGAATTTCTCCCCTGGCTTGAGTGGTAGCAAGCCACTCCCCAGGATTCATGGGGAAGTTCACCCAGGTTCGAACCCCAGCGAAGGCAGCAGCATTGGCTCTTTGTGCGTCATTAGTCATTAGATCATATTTAATCATATTTAATCATATCAAATCTAATTAGACCAAAATAAATTGAATTAGATCAGATTCTATGAAATTTGACCAAATCAAATTCAATCAGATTTATCTAGTAAGATCCAATCAATTCAGATCAGACTTGATATCTTCAAGACGGCATTTCGTACCCATAAAGGCCATTATGAATTTTTAGTTATGCCCTTCGGCTTGACGAATGCTCCGTCTACTTTCCAGGCGGCTTTGAATCAACTCTTTCGCGTGTACTTGCGCAAATTCGTGATTACTTTCTTTGACGATATATAGGTATATATGTTAGGCGTGTCGTAGCACCTACAAATTAATTTATTATTTTTCTTAACACTTAACCCTTTATGAATTAATATTTATTAAAATATATAGATAGGGCAAGTAAGGATCGATCCCACGAGGAAAGATACTTTTTAGGCTATGTAAATCAGTTCACTTGTCACTTTTATTGAATAAAAACTAACTAAACTAACAACTAAAACTAAAGGATATGGGGAGTTTGAATGATAATTCTAAAAAGATAAATGCAAATAAAATTAAAATAAAGATAACAGAGAACAGATACGAGATGGAACCACAACAACAAGTCAAACTCAAAAGCCACTCAGGGAGAAAAACAAACACACAAAAACAATCACATAATAAACTTTATAAAAACGTAGACAATAATAATTAATTTAAACCATTTTGAAAATACTTATAGTTTTTAATGAAAAATAAACTGAACAAATATGATTCCTTAATTAATTATGCCTTAATTCTAAAATTAAACAACTAATTAAACTCAGGGTTAGGCTGAAGAAGAGTTCCACCAACGATTCTTCCCTATTCTCTCATTCATATTAGCTCATGTTAAGACCAACCTTAACTCTAAACCATACTACCCTTAGCAACCCAAAGACCAACCCTTAAGTTACTACTAAGAATAGCACATTAATATTTGTGGAAAACATCACCATAACAATCTTGCTGTAACACTACGGTTATTTAACAAAATTAGTTCAAGAACCTTGATTAGCGAAAACCACTTAGCGAGGCAATTTAGGCTAATCAAGTGACACTTAGTTTCTAGAAAAGTTCGGCTATTTAAAGCACTTCGGACTTTAAAAGAATATCATTTTAAATTGGATTAGGTCGCGATCCTAATTTGACCCAACTTAAGTAAAATCAATTGAAAAATAGTTCTCAAACACCTTTTCGAGTTTAGATTTTAAGGAGAAAGACCAAAGTAGGACTAAAACATTAAAAACATATCAAAATAGAACTTCCATGTTTTTATTCCCGAAACAGAACTTACATTACCAAACATGGTCATATACATTACCAAAAAAGTATAGTAATCTGCACATGTATACTGCCACATTATCACAATGCAAAATCACATTACCACAGTGCAAAGTCCTATTACGGGAAAAAAACATGAAAGTCCTATTTTAGTATTTTTCTCTATCTTTTAGTCCTATTTAAGATGATTTCTATAGATTTTAACAGTAGCGTAGAGCTAAAATCTCTTCAAAGTCAATGTAATTCAACAAACAAAGATTCAATCTTTTTGTCAAACAATCCGGCCTAAGAAGGTTTTATAATTTCAGAGACAATAATAAATCACCAAATCATATTTGAACAATTCAACATCAACACACAACCAAATCAACACTTATAATACTCCGTATAACTTAAACATTCAACAAACATGGAATTGAAAATAGACATATTTAAATATTGGAAGTCAAATTCATCAATTTAGGGAATTAATAAATTTAATATCCTATTTAAAAGAACATAGAATTGAAAGGGGAAAAATGCTCCCTGGGTTCTCCCTTTTTCGCTGCCAGAAGAAAGCCCAAGCCGTCCGCCGTTGTTCCATCGTTCCAGTCATCGCCGGAATGAAACTGTTGTTGTCGCCACCATCGCCGGAGCATTCATCGGCTTTCTGCAGTTGTTCCGTTTGCCCACACCGGACCTAGGGTCGGAACCCTAGGCCGGCTCTTTTCCATTCTCTCTCTGCCCGTGTCTCTATCCGTCTGGTATCTGCCCCCCTGATTGTGTGACTTTTGTCTCCCTTTTATACGGAGTATTAAAAGTTTTGAAGAGGTTTAATCAAATAGGAGTAGATCTGTTTCTTCCGCTAGTCTTCTCCTGTTGGCGAAGATTTCATAGCTAACATGCCTTCCGTCTTTTTATTTTGTTTTGATCTTCTTTGTCACTTGCTTTATCATTGAATGATTGGGCTTGGCCCAATCCTTTTCTTCCTTTCCTTTTGAGCTCCAAAAACAAAAAACTGATGGTAGGTACCCTGTATTTTGAAATAAAAACTGCCAGATACCTCTAATTTTTAAAATATACTACGAGGTACTCTAAAATATTGAAAAATTAACTAAGGGGTGATTTTCCATCCATACCTCCGTTTCCTCCTATTACTTCCGTCATTTCATCATCATCATCGCCATCATATCATCATCATCATTACCATCATCACCCATCGATCATCATCTCCCTCCTGTTCTTCTTCACACGCCTTCTCCAGTCCTCCCAACTCCTCATTTCCTTCTTCTTCTTTGATCTAGCCCCCACCCCCACCCTCAAACCATACCACCCTTTTATTCTTCTTATTTTTCTATTATTATTATTATTATTATTATTATTATTATAAAAATTTAATTAGTAATTTTACTCTCTAAAAAGTAACTATTCTTCTTCTTCCTGCAATCCAGCCTCCACCCTCTCCCTTAATTTTCTTCCTCTTATTTTTCTATTGTTATTTAAAATTAATTAGTAATTTCACACCCTAAAAAACTAGTTATTTTATTACTCTAAATAGTGATAAATACCAAGTAATTAATAAGATTAACAATACAAGAAGAAAATAATAATAAATGACTACTCCCTCCGTCCCAAAAAGATTAACATCTTTCAAAAAAATTACGTCCTACAATCTCCTACTCATTTCTATTAAAAAACCACTTTTACTCCTTACTTTTTAAACCCTGCCTATGAAATAAAGGTAATCTACACATCACATCCTACTTTTACACATCAAATTAATGTTATTTTTGGAAAGTCAACACAAAATTATCCCTCCTTTAATTTTCACTTTAGTCAAAATGTATAAAACTTTGTGGGACGGAGGAAGTAATATTTACTCCCTCCGTCCCCCTGTAATTGTCCACTTTCATTTTTGCACACCATACAATGCACTTTTTTAATCTATTTTATCTTATAATTTGTTTTTTAAAAAATTATAAAAATTACTCCATCCGTCCTATAATGTTCTTCCCACACACTTTTTACCCGGTCAAACTTTAATGACTTTCTTTACCTATTTTCATTAGATATTTGATAAAATAATATAGTCTTGTCACCATTTGTTTTGTAGAACTTATGATGTAGTTTTTAAATATATAAATTTTATTTTTAAATTTTACACCTACAATCAAATAAATTGAATTGAAAATAAAGTCGGTCAAACTTCGTAAAATGAATCGAGAAGATCATTATAGGACGGAGGGAGTATATATTAATAATCTATTTGTTAAGATAAACCAAACAAGATCACACATGACTATATTTAGGCTTACACATTGAGAGAATTTGATGAGTCAAAGTGCTTAGATGAATAGTTCCAAAAGTCAAATGTAGACAAATACAGGGGGACGGATGGAGTATAATAAATAATAAATAAAATTAATACTCATAATTATTAGTTTTTTTAATATAAAATTGAGTAGTACAACTACTAATTCTTTTAATAATAATAATTGATATCATTATTTATATTAAAAATAATTAGTAGTGGTTATACTTTATTTATAATAATTATTATTATTGCATGTTTAGGACTATTTATTAGTGCTTTTTTCTAAACATTAGAGTAGTAAAATTACTTTTTATAGAGTAAAATTACTAATTAAATTTTTATAATAATAATAATAATAATAATAATAATAGAAAAATAAGAAGAATAAAAGGGGTGTATGGTTTGAGGGATGGGGGTGGGGGTGGGGGCTAGATCAAAGAAGAAGAAGAAGGAAGATGAGGAGGGGGGAGGACTGGAGGAGGCGGGTGAAGAAGAACAGGAGGGAGATGATGATGGATGGGTTATGATGATAATGATGATGATATGATGGTGATGATGATGAAATGACGGAAGTAATGGGAGGAAACGGAGGGATGGATGAAAAATCACCCCTTAGTTAGTTTTTCAATGTTTTAGGGTACCTCGTAGTATATTTTTAAAACTAGAGGTACCTGGCAGTCTTTATTTCAAAATACAGGGTACCTACCAGCAGTTTTTTGCTCCAAAAAATCCATCTTCTTTATTTTTTTCAACATAAAAATTGTGTCAAGTAAAATAATACTTCCAAAATAATTGTCATTTATAAAAATACTTAAAATCATGCATTTTATGTATAAAATATAAACAATATCCTAAAATGCTAAATATGATAAAATATGAATATTTCGGCATAAAATGCATATAAAATATCTTAAAAGTACTAAGAAATGAGGGAATAAAATATGACATTTTGTGACTCAACAAATATCCCCACACTTAGACTTTTGCACGTCCTCGTGCAAACAAGATTTTGAAAATCATTTTTTTCCTTTTTTGATTTGAAATTAGAATCCAAAACAATTTCTCAATCTTATAACAATCTAAAGTGATGCATGAAACATTAACTAGAAATTAACTATGTACCAAGCAGAATAAACCCTTTAAAAATCAATTTACTACTTTAAGTTTTAAAACAATTCTTTTACTTCAAAGCTAAGTAGAAATTACTTTTATTTAATGTCAAACTTTTAAATAAGTAAGGCCATTGAGAACATTTTAAAAGAAACAAATAGAGCAGCAAAAAGCGGTTAGAAAATCTTAAGAAACCATCAAGTAAAGAAAAGCTCAAGAAAAATTATTTTCTTTCCAAAATTCAGAAACTTTTATTTATTGGTTTCTTTCAATATTTAATTTTAATTGTTTGAGTTGACCCGTGTAGCGAGTCTCAACCAGGCTACCCTAGGTTTCTTCGAACAAAACGCTTCCACTTTCTATTAAAAAATCACTTTTACCCTTATTTTTTCATATCCTACCTATACATCATATTTTTTCTCTAATAATCTGACCATCACATCTTACTTTTACCCATCACATCAGGGGCAAAATTAGAAGTCAACTATAATTTAACACTTCCTTATTTTTGCTCCAAGTCAAAATTGGAAGTCTTTTTGCAAACGGAAGGAGTAGAATTTAGTAAGGACTAAATTGGGGAAATACGTTATTACAAAGGACTATTTTGGGAATTACTCTAAAAACAATTTATACCGACATTTTTGTCATTCTAAACCATCACACTAACATTGCACTAACACAAAATATCAATACAAACTTCAGGGAAATAAAATAAGATACTCCCTCCGTCCTCAATTAGTTTACAATTTTTTTTCTCTCCTCTCGATATTTTGTATTTGTTTACGCGACTTCAATAAGTATTTGATAAAATAAAATATTCTTGTCAACTCTTGTTTTGTAGAACTATTGACATAGTTTTTTAATATGTAATTTTAATTTCTTATTTGTATATCACTTTGTAAATAAAATAATTTCAAAATGTGAGATATTTATCCTCGTAAATTCCAATTTGTAATCAAATCGGAGATGAATTGAGTATAATTTTAGGGGTACAAATAACATTACTCCCTAATTCTTTACTTTTTTAGAGTAGTTGATATCGAGCAGATTAGTACTCCGTGTATTTTACTACTCCGTACTACTTTCCATCCAGCTAATCACAGCACTCATACTCGAATGATTATAATAAAATAGGGCCATGCTACTCCGTAGTACTTTCCCGGTGTATCTACTCGTAAATTTCATTAAAATATGTTTCATATATAATCTACTCCGGGGTATTAAAAATAGAAATTTTAGTATTTTTTAATTAAAACATGACATACATTTAACCCAAAAAAATGTAATATATAGTCTCAAAAACATGGTAAATAAAAATATATAGTGCCAAACTTTGGCATTATGGTGTCACAATGCTCCTATTTAAGAGATACTACGTAATATATAAAATTATACGACATAGCAGAAGTAAATTAAATCGGATTCATTTTAATTAAAAGTTTGAATATTTAATACGGAGTACATGGAAACAAGGGAGTTGGTGATTAATTTCGTACAAAGTGTCAAACCCACCAAAAAAAACCCAAACAAAGTGACATATATAAAATATAAATAGAGAAAAGGGATCCCCAAAATCTTGCAAGCAAGCTAGCCAAGCCCTCCCTCCATACATACAAAATGATGGCCTCAATAACGAACTATCCCTCTCCTGCCCAAATTGTGGAGTCCAAAGACACACAAGAAGTGATAGTAGTGATCGTACCATTTCTTGCACAAAGCCACATTAATCTTCTTTTCCACATGTCCCGCCTCGTTGCCTCCTACGATTTGCCCGTTTATTTTCTCGGTTTTAGCATCGACATTGTCACAGCCAAACAACGTATCCAAGGTTGGAACCCGACCGACTACCCGACCCTTCGGTTCCATGAGTTCCCCTCGCCCCCGTCTTACCAATCCAACACCAACCCCACACGTGAGTTCGGGTCGTTCACGGACTTGTTAGCTAACACGATGAAAGCGGCCGTGGATTTACGCGGCCCCATCAGAGAGCTCCTATGGGAGCTCTCGGGCAAATGCCGAAGGCTCGTGGTGGTTGGTGACGCTCTGATGGCCACGGCTATACAGGACGTCACTTCCATACCGAATGCTGAGGCTTACAACTTCTATGTTGGGTCGGCCTTCCACGATGCCTCAATCATCTGGGAAGCCTCCCGTAGAGTGCTTCACATCCCGCCTTTCCTCTGGAAGCTCATCGGGAAGCTTGTTCTCCCTTCGGGTGCAGTGATCCCGGACGGTCTTCCGACCACACAAAGCTGCTTCCCGGCAAATTTCTTGAAGTTCATAGTCGACCAACGAGCCAACCACAAGTTCTTCAAGGGTCATCTGTTCGACGCTTGCAGAGCCATAGAAAGCCCGTACCTCGACCTACTTCGAAGGTGCTATAGGCTACTCAGAAGAGGAAACGTGTGGGGGATCGGTCCGTTAAACCCGGTCGTCACCCAATCAGAAATAAGCAATAATAATTCCACAGACCGTCACAGCAGCCTTGGGTGGCTGGACATGCAGCCACCCAAGTCTGTTATTTTTGTCTCCTTCGGGACTCTAACCGTCCTGTCCGACGACCAGCTCCACGAGCTAGCCGTAGGGTTGGAACAGAGTGGCCAGAGGTATATCTGGGCGGTGAAAGACGTGCTGAAAGGAGCGAAAGGATGGATCGGGTTGCCCGAAGGATACGAGGAGAGAGTCAAAGGGAGAGGGCTCATCCTCCGGGACTGGGTCCCGCAGCTCGAGATCCTGGACCATTGGTCGACGGGCGGGTTCTTGACGCACTGCGGGTGGAACTCGTGCATGGAGAGCATATGCAGGGGAGTGCCAATGGCGACGTGGCCAATCCAGTACGACCAGGCCAGGAACGCCGTCCTGATGACGGAGGTGCTAAAGATCGGGATTGCCGTGAAAGATTGGGAACGGAGGGAGGAGGTGATAACCGCGGCGGCGATTGAAGCGGCGGTCCGGAGATTGATAGGGTCGGCGGAAGGAGAGGAGTTGAGAGTAAAGGCGAGAGAGATGGGGAGAGCCGTAAAGCAGTCCGTGATGGAAGGGGGCGTTTCTCGCGTGGAGATGGATACTTTTATTGCTCATATTACCAGAAAATGTTGATGGAGAGGTGCATTGAAATAAATACCTCAAGTCTTTTTTTCTAAAATGCACTTTCTCATCTTTGTAATTGATTTAAAATATTTTTATTCTAAGTGATTAGTGAGTTCTGTGAATCTTTTAATGGTTTGCAGTGTTTTGCATCTTTTCACTATACAACTTTGAGAGTATTTTAATGGCGATTGTTATTCAATGAGTCAAACATTTTTAGTACTCAATTTTTAAGAATGTCTTCTTTGAGAAAAAACATTTACTAGAATAAGAATTAAAAAAAAGAAAGAACTAAAATAAGATTTTAATATTTTTATCTGCAAAATAAGATTAATAATTCTAATATAGAGTGTTACATTGTCACAAGACAATAATCCTATTTTGGTGATAAAGTATATATCACTCATATATATTTTGGCAATAAAACTATGTTTTACTTTTATCTTGGTGATTTCTTAATAATGTTTTCAATTAATGGTCATTTTGAATATTGTTTAATAATACAAATTAACATTGAAAACAAACACTATAGCGCCACCAAAAGATCAATATCATGTCGTTTGGGGCATAAAATGAAATCGACGTTGTTTTAATCTTGTTTAAACATTAATTTACTTCTTCTCGAATCGGTTTAAACATCGTTTTAATCGTGTTTAAATGAAATCGATTGTTGATTCGTGGAAGGAAAATTATTTTCCCTCTTCTTAGTTTATTTTCTCTCTTTACTTTCTTTTCTTTCGACTTCTCTGTTCTTTTCCTCTCTAAGAAAAATTATTTTCCATATCAATTTATTTTCTTATTCAAATTCCTTGAACCAAACATAATGCAAAAGAGGTGGAATTTTAATTTTTCTTCATAATTTAATAGACAAAACCAAACACTAAAAATTCTTCTTCCTTCAGCATTTTTCTCCTTTCCCTACAATTTTAAAAGTTCCAAATATATCATATGTAGACAATAGGCCAAAGGACCATTTGGCTTGCCGAGGAATGGGGATCTCATAAAAGTAATTGCCTAAATCCTAGTAAATAATCAACCTCACTACTGATAGAAACCCTATACATGACACTTAACCAGAGAGGCAGACAATTTGATTAAGAAAAAAGCATTTCCATATGTTAACTAGGATAGATCATGAGATTGTAATCTTGAATGGATTGATCATAAAGAAAATCATCAACCTATGAGACAGTTCTTTGAGAAAAATATTTGAACCATTTCCTAAAGAGTACATGCTGGATTTTTATCAGTGAGTTTCTTAATTTTTTAAATTTAATGAATTAGTAATATGGGTCCTTCCACAAGTAGTTGGGATTAAAAGTGTTACTAAAGGGTGATGATGATGGCTAATCGTAAAATTTCAAGTAGAATGGAGTCTCTTTAAAACTTTAACAGGGTGTAAATCTTCTTGTTAAGTGTGGTATTTCATCAAACACTTGGTGGGCATGATTTCTAACATTAAAATACAATGAAATTGAAGATGTGAAAATACTCTGAAATTCGAGATGTGATTTCTAACTTAAAAATACACTGGAATTTCGAACTGAAAATTTCAATGATTTCACTTCAAAATTTCGCACAGTACAAATTTCATATGAATTCTCTTCGAAAATTGGAGATGTCATTAAACCTAATTCATAAATTCAAAAACAATGGTATGTAAAAACCTGGGACCTGGGGCTTAGCAGCAATCCGTCGCGCAGCACCGAAGTAGAGGGTGTAGTCCGTAGCCAGCAATCCGTCGCCAGCAGGATCGTCCGACGACTGAGGCTCTGCTGCAGTCCGTCGCCAGAGCAGCACCGCGCGAAGTCTCTCTCGGAATTGAAGTTGTGGGCTTATACCCTTGTTTTTATTAAAGCTTTCCTAGAGTAGAGTAATTGGGAAAAATTACCAGGCCGGCCGCGGGTAATAGCAAATGGGCGGGCTTTTAAAATTTTAGTTTTGTGTCGGCCCAACGGACAAAACATATTTTTGAAAAGAGCAATGCTAGGGGTACACCAAAAGGTGTACCCCAAATGTACACCACCCTCTTTTCCACCACACATTTTTATTTGATTTTTATTTACTTATATTTTTTTAAATTTTTTTGCCTTTTTCAGTGGACAAGGAAGGGGTGGGGGATATATGGGGTACACCTTTGTACCCCTAGCATTTTTCTTTTGAAAAATCTAAAAATAATTAGTGTCGAGTAAACCCACATAAACTGTGTTTAGTTTCACATTTAAACATGTTGGATAAACTTTCACAAACATATTTTTAAAATTTTAATAGAAATTTACAAAATTATTTATACGTTTCATTGTCGCTTAGACTGTCATAAAAATAAATAATTTTTTTGCATCGACTTAGCGGACGCAAAATTGCGAAGGCTATGTGCCCCTCACTAACATTGGCAGCTAATTCAACTTATTCTAGTAGTGACTTTATATTCAACTAATCCAAGTCGCCAACCCTTCCTCATCACAGCCTTGCTTCTGCTAATGTCCGACCACTAATTGGGACATGTAAAATCTCAACCTGGTACTTGATAGAAGTCACATGGCTGAGGCAGGCCCATAACTTGGGCTCCCACATGAGGCCACGTATCCAAGGAGAATCCAACTGAGCAGCATAGCCGTCAGCTAATTAAGGATCTGGGATCAGTTGTCAATCTGACCCAATAACTACTAAGCCGATCTCTAGGGTCGGTACCTACCGACCTGACCTCTGAGGTCAGTACTTGACAAGTCGACCATAAAGGTCAGGACCTCACACCTATCAAGACGACCTCCAAGGGTTGATCATCAAGTTTGACAGGAGACTTTATCTCATATCATCAAGGGTTGACAACTCAAATTCATTTTACTCATATTATTCTTACTCATTATTATTACTCTGTACTAGTACATCACCCGTGCGATGCACGGACAGATAAACGATGCTTCAGAAATCATAAAATTTATTAAATTTTAAATAGAATTACTAACATAAAAATGTGTATTAAAAATAGACTACATGCAATACCTACTATTATTATGAGGTTAACTGGGTGTTGGGATGAACATCGCTTCCTGCTTGAATAATGTTATTTAGTTAAAAAGACAATTATTTAAAAAAAACTACAAAAGATTTGTGATAAAAAAAATTGAAAATTATTTTAACAGATACAAATACTACGTAGTTAACATATACTCCGTAAATAGCATTATACTCTTCCACTCTCAGCCCGCCCAAATGAGTGTGATGCATCGGCCCAGTCCAACATTCAGTCAAGTCCAGTCCAACTTAAAATTCTTTCTCCTTCCGCCGCAGTTATCCTGACCATATCTTCTGCCTTCTCCTATCTCTTACTTTTTTCTCAACCCTCCAAATTTCTATAGTAATACCGGTTTGTGCTACGATGGAGTTCACCTCCTACGTTGATTACGTGTACGTTTTGGTTCTCTCTCTTGTATCCATCTGTTTCTGTTTCATTTCTTTTATTTTTTTTATTTTTTTCGTAATTCTATTGGCTTCTTATCACACACTGAAGAAATCGAATGTCATCCACTTATTCAAAACAAAAGGATGATGTATTCTCATTTTTAAGATGAGACGGTCTCCGATGATAGACCAATTTTTTACATATTATGATTTTTATTTCAGATCTCATTAAATCTCAGAAAAAGGATTATTTATATGTTTTGTTTTTTAGGACAATCTTTTCTCCATGATTTTTGATAATTTTTGGGGTTCATATAAGATTTAGATGTTTTTATTAGATCTCTTTAAAATGAGTTTATCTGCTTCGATTCGAACAACGAAGAATTTGTTCACAGATCCATGCATGTTCAGATTTGTAATTTGACAACGAATGCATGATGTTAAAAATCATGTGTAATAGAGGAGGTCTCCGATGATAGACCTGATATACTGATGGTATTTTATGTTAAGTGTTTAAACTTGTTTTACAATATTGAAGGATTTTCTCTTTTAGGATTTAGATGAAAATCTGAATTTACTTCATAAATATTGTGGTTGGTAGTAATATTCATGAATATTTAAAACAACAATCTCTCAGTGAAATTATTTTCCTGTTAATTTTTAGTTATACAGCTTTTAATCTAAATATTCTACTCCATTTATTTTATAAACAAAGAAAGCAATAACCTTAAGCTTAAAACTGCAATTATATACTCCCTCTGTCCAATATTTATCTTCCCATTTGGACCGGGCACGCATATTAAGAAAATATGTAAATGGCATTGACTTTCCCATTTTACCCCCTCATCCCATTGGCCTGTACAACAACGAACTCTAATTCTAACAATTAAAGCAGAGTTTTGATTTGAAGAAACAAAGTCCAATACCAACGAGGAAGACTTCAAAATTAAACATAAGATTTCTATCAAAAAATGAAAAATTAAACTCCAATTTATTTTTCAAAGCAACACTGTAGCGGCAATTTTACGGCAGCAGATAAGTAGACGAAATTGGATGAGCAAAGGGAGGATAAGTCAGATCTAGCAGAGATGAGATTATTTCTTTTCAAATCTTTGAGATCCCACATGAATGAAATGGGTTTTGTTCAGATTCACTGCATAGTGAAAACTCCAACTTTATTGCTACAGTGGGGGTGAAGGAGAAAGACGAAGCCAGAGGAGAAAGAAGATGGCGGATGGGAAAGGAGATGGCGGTGGAAGAAGAAGATGGAAGCGATGGCCGATGAAGAAGATGGCTAAGAGGGGAAGGAGGAAGAAAATGGCTAAGAACAAAATATAGGACGGAGGAAGAAGGCAAGGGGTGAGAGAATCAGTTGGGAACTTGGATGACTGAGCGAGAAAACTAATTTGAGGCACAAGGGTAAAACCGACTTTTTAGTATTCATTCTTTGCCAAAAAAGAAAATGGGAAGATAATTTGTGGACAGACCAAAAAGGAAAGTGAGAAGATAATTGTTGGACGGAGGGAGTATATAATATTTTCAAAACCTGGTATCTAATCTGGTTATGTCTGGCATTTTATCTATATTCTGATCACAATGGATCAAAGTTAGACAAATGTACCATGACCATAAGGCTTTTATTTCTTACAGGAGGATTTTATTTAAAATGAAGTGAAGTAAATTATGTAAGTCATTTCATATATAGTTCATTCAATTTTTT